CAGTATGAAAATAGACTCATGGACCAGTGAAACAGAATAGAAATAAACCCACGCATGTACGGTCAATTGATTTTTGACAAAGGTGCCAAGAATACACATTGGAAAAAGGACAGTCTTTTTGATAAATGGTGTTGGGAAAACTGGATTTCCATATGCAGAAGAATGAAATGGGACCCTATCTTACTCTGTACAAAAATCAACTCAAAATGGATTAAAGACTTAGACATAAGATCTAAAACTGTAAAAGTAGCAGAAGAAAATAGGGGAAAAACTACATGACATTGGTTGGGGCAATGATTTTTTAGATTTGACCCCAAAAGCACAGACAACAAAAGCAAAAATAAACAAATGGGATTACATCAAACTAAAAAACTTCTGGACAGCAAAGGAAACAATAGGCAGAGTGAAGAGACAACCTACAAACTGGGAGAAAATATTTAAAAGCCATACATCTTATAAAGCGTTAATATCCAAAATGTAAGGAAATCAAACAAATCTGTAAAAAGAAAACAAGTAATCTGATTAAAAAGTGGGGCAAGGGACCTGAATAGACATTTCCCAGAAGAAGGCATATAAGGCTGGGTGCAGTGGCTCATGCTTGTAATCTTAGCAGTTTGGGAGACTGAAGTGGGAGGATCCCTTGAGGTCAGGAGTTTGAGACTAATCTGGGCAACATAGCTAGACCCCAGTCTCTACAAAAAATAAAAAAACTAGCCGGACATGGTGGCATGCCCCTATAGTCCCAGCTACTTGGGAAGCTCAGGGAGGAGGGTTGCTTGAGCCCAGGTGTTTAAGGTTGCAGTGAGCCATGACAACGCCACTGCACTCTAGCCTAGCCTGGGCAATCGAGTGAGACCCTGTTAAAAAAAAAAAAAAGACATACAAATGGCCAAGAGATATATGAAAAATGCTCAACAGCACTAATTATTAGGGAAATACAAATTAAAACCACAATGAGATATCACTTTGCACTTGTCAGAATGGCTATTCTCAAAAAGACAAAAGATAATAAATGTTGGTAAGGATGTGAAGAAAAGGCAACCCTTGTACACTGTTGGTGAGAATGAGAATTAGTACAGTCATTATGGAAAACTGTATGGAGGTTCCTTAGAAAACTAAAAATAGAATTACCATATGATCCAGAAATCAGTATGTCAAAGAGATGTCTGCACTCCATGTTCATGGCAGCACTATTCATATTAACCAAGTTACGGAATCAACCTAAGTGCCCATCAACAGATAAATAGATAAAGAAAATGTGGTATATATATGAAATAGAACACTTGCCAGTATTAAAAAAGAGAGAAATTTTGTCATTTGCAATGACACGGATGGAATTGGAGAACACCATGCTAAGTGAAATAAGCCAGATACAGAAAGACAAATATTGCATGTTTTCACTTATATGTGGAATCTAAAAATATCAAAGTCAAAGAAGCAGGAGAGTAGAATGGTGGTTACCAAAGGCGGGGGGTGGGGAGATGAGGAGATGACTGTCAAAGGGTATAAAGCCTAAGACAGGAGGAATAAGTGTTTTTTTTTCTTGGAGATATATTGCACAAGGTAATGAATATAGTAAATAATAATGTTATTGTACGTTTCAAGATTGCTAAGGAGATAAATTTTAAAGATTCTCACTAGAGAAAATAAGTATTTGAGGTGATGGATATATTAATTATCTTGTTTTAATTATTCCACGTTATATTCATAAATCATACCATCGCTTTGTGCCCTATAAATATATGCAATTATAATCTGTCAAATTATAATTTAAAAAGGTTTTTACTATGATTTACAAGCTCCCACACAATTTGGAATCCCATTCACTTTCTGACTTCATCCCTAATATTCTTTCTCTTAATCTCTCTACTCCATCCAAACCAAC